TATTGAGATGACTATGGATAGAAGTTTACCTGAAAATACTGAAGTTGACAGCTGACAAAGATATAAGAATCCAAAGTATGTTAAAAATTAAGGAGCTGGGGCCCAGAGAAGTGAAGTTACTTCTCCAGCATCACACAGCAGATCCAGGACCCTGTGTGATTTGAAAAGGCCAAGGTATCTAATGATGCTCATAATTTAGTTTACATTTTGTGTCAAACAGATGAGGTCAAGTGGACATTATGTGTATATTCCAAAGCCAAAATTACTGCTTGTAATCTCCATTCATCTCTCTGAAGTAGTGCCTCTTTTATATGGCTTTAACATAATGTATAATCGAAGTGATTTAGGGCAGCCAAACTTTTAATCACAGGACTGATCTTTTAAAAACGGGTATATGTAAAGTTAATTGCTTATCTATGTGAACAGTAATATACGCTATAAAAAGTTTTCAAGGCAACTTCCTGCCTGTGGTTTAATTTGATAGTCACAATGATAGGAAATTGGCAGGGTTAGGTGGTGGTATCCACATTTTGCCCATGAGGACTTGTGGCTCAGATAATTTGAGTTTTTTCTAGTAAGGTCACTAGGTCCCTAGTGCACAGCCTGCTTTCAGGTACGGATGTGGGATGGGGGTGTCGGCAGACCACAGGTTTTTGACTCTCAGTTTGGGCTCATTTCCATGACTCCTTGCTGCCTCCCTGATTTCTGTCAAATGACCAAAGCACATTTACTAATTACTTCTGCCGCAAGGACTACTCCTTATTAGGCTGTGACAAGCAAGTTTCCTCACATAGCGGGTCAGCTCACTCTGGCCACAGGACCCAGCTTCCTAACCACACACATTAAGAAAGAGAAAAATTAGCACCGTCTGAGACCTACAACCACTTCACGGGGTAAGAGTGGTGTTTGCACAAATATCTACTCTTGTTTTAACCTAATCATGTGTAAAAAGTGTAATTCACTGGTCTTTACCAAAAAAAAAGTCATCACAGTCTGCCTGTGCTGGACGCTATGCTAGAGAGACAAAAGTGAGCAGGATAGGCACCACCCTACCCTTACAAACCCAAAAAGTTAGAGGAAAGGCTATCAGGATGTTACTATGCAATTTGATAGCATTTCAATTTTGGTAACATAAATACTTGAACTAATTAGAATGTGCTACAAATTTTGCCATTCTTTACTTTCCATGTGCCAACATGGAAAATTTGTAACCTTCATCTTTCAGTACCTCATCTTAACAGTCTTCTATAAATCAAAAAATCTACCCCAAAAAGCCCTAGGTTTTAACTTTTGAAAAGTTTTTTTATTTATCAGCTTTTCATGTCATGACTAAGATCTGCCATTCAATTTAAAGGAATTCTTTCATTTTGGAGTAACAGTTATTAAAATCCTTTATTCCTACCTCCTTGAGAATCTAACGGAAATTTTATAACCTCTTCCCGGAAATTTTTTTTTAATGTGCATCCTCACACACCATTTTGCATTCGGCGTCAGCAGGCTAGAGGCTTCCTTGAACCTCAGTCATGACCCTCTTTGGGGGTCCACTTTCATAATCAGTATTCTAAACGTAGTAGGCATAAATAGCTTGAATAGAGGAAAGTGGGATGTTGACTCTTGGCCTTCACTTGGACTGAGCATCTCTATCCTTAACTAGTTGGTGTCTCCATTTTTGTTAGTCATTGGCTACTGCTTAGCTGAAGCTATTGATTTTAATAGCCTTATTGTTTTGATATGAGGCTGCCACTCTGCAGAAGCCTAATATTGGGGAAGGAACACCAGTCTAAGAACCGTGGTTTGTTTCTAGTATCAACTCTTCAGATTTCTGTGCCTCATTTTTCTCATCTCTAAGATGGGTGGCTGATGGGTGGCCGGGACTGAATCATTTCTAAAATTCTGTACACTGATGAAATTCTGTGATTCCAGTGTAACTACCAAGTTCACTTTCACATACCTCCTGGGACACAGCTGGTCCTAGTAAATTTAGGTCCTCTATGTCCAAAGAAAGTCAAAGTAAGTACCACCATAATTCACTATAGAATGTATTTTTGTCTTTCACTGACCTTACTGGACTCAAAACTGTTACATGTTTCCTTAAATTAGATAGAATAACACAATTGTGAAACACTACTTTTCAAGGAAAAATATTACAATTTTAAAAGCCTCTTTTTATCCCACCTCTCAGTAGCTACAACTTTCATATATGAGTTTCATATATATATATATGAAAAACTTTTTCTTATCTCAGACTCTTAAGGAAATGCAATGCTTTTAATATGATCACTGCTGTGTAATTCTCAGCTGCCCTGAAACACTTAAGTTCTGTCCATCAATCAATGTCTTTGGGCTTATAATATTCAGAGCCTTAAGCAAAACCAGCGCAAAAGCACATCTGTCCTCAAATAAGCACATCATATGTCTGAGCAGTTCAGCATCCTCACTCAAAGTCCACGGCTCTCAGCAATGTGGAAGAACATGTGATTCCTAAAATCACCACCCTTACACACAGTGACACACTCACCAGAAAGTGAGGCTTAACATAGCTTAAGTTGCTGAAGTTTAAAACAGATTGTGAATATCTGTGCTAATTCTGAGAAACAATTAGCAGAGATATTAATCAATTAGCACAGATCACTAATATCTGTGCTAATTGTTAGGCCAGATTAGCACAGATATTGCTACCTTGTGTGAGTAGACAGAGTTAAGGCACTGGCAGAAGGAAAGATTAGTGAAGAATATCAAATAGGTGATTTAATGAAATTGTGAGGCTGATGTTTGGATAAGGTGAAACAATGCCCTACAATGACATTTATGCCAGTTCTCCATAAACGAGAGTGTTCTACACAAATTATAAGTTCCTGGCTGTCTTAACAAAATGCTCTGGTCCTTTGTATGCTCACACAAATAACGGTTCCAAGCATGGGAAACAGGTGTCAGATTGCCCAGGTGGGCAACCCAGCTGCATGCTCCTTGCCACTGATTAACCTTGTGCAAGTTACTTCACCTGCCTGTGCCTCAAGGCCCCCATGTTTCAATGGGGAGGGTGTGAACACTCATTCCTAAGGTTGTGAGGAGGAATAGCTGAGTCAGTAGACATCAAACACCTAGGTGCTTGGCAGAGGGAGCCCTGTGTGTTTGCTATTATTTTGTTTCAGTGGATGATCTTGTGTATTATAAGAAATCAATTTGGAAGGTGAGATACAAATGCAGTCTGAGAAAGTAAAGACATTTTAAAGACATTTTACTGTGTCACAAATTTTCAGAGACCACACTGACACGGTAAAAAGTTGTCTGGTTTTTAGAATTTTTGTTTCAGAATGCATATCCTTCTCCTTAACCAAACGAAAACTACTAAAATACTTCTGAAAATTATTTCCAAGAAAACATTTTGGTATATCTTTTAGCAGTTACTTTACAACTTAAAGGTTAGGATAAACCAAAGAATTATTTTAACTTGGCTTTTACCTGCTTGTAGATAACCTCTAATTTATATAACGGTTCAATTATACCGTGGTAAATGTATCTGGGCTTGAACTTTTAAAATAGCAAGTGTAACATGTGATAGATGTAGGGTACTTATAAAGTACTCACTAAGCACTGATGACTGATGTCATTAGTATCACGGCTATCATTCATTGAACCCTGATTATGAGGCTGGCACCCAACTAAATGTTTTGCATTGTCACTTCATCTTCACAAGACTTTCTGAGTAGGTTATACCTTTATCTCCATTTTCAGGGAAACAACTAAGACTGAAAGAGGTTTATTAACTTGCCAAATACCACACAGCTAGTAACACTGGTGGGGTATGGAATGGAACCCAGGCAGGCTGAAAACAACAGAACAATGAACACTCCTACTTTTCAATTAGATTTTCTAATTGTTAATATTTGCCACATTGACTTATCTTTCTGTGTCCCTACCCATCTCTCTATATATATCTATATGCAAACCTGGCATCTAACTTCTAGATGTTTCAGCATGGATCTCCTAAGAACAAGGACATGGTTCTATGCAATTAAAACACATGATTATAGCATCCAAGAGTGGTTTTTAAAATCCGGGATGAAACTTAATTTTTAACCACAAGTCCAGACGATGATTTCTACCAGTATTCTCCAGCTTTACTTTATACTTGACAGACTGAGATCCAAGCCTGGAATCTTCTAAAAAGGGTCCACTGCCAATCTGGAATGCCAACAAACCTTATTAATATATCCCCACATTTGTAAGCTTCTACTAAATTCTCCAAGAACCTGCATATCAGTTAAGTCCTGAAATGCTCCAGTGCCAAATAAAAGCCCACTATGCAGATAGAAATGCCTTTGGAAACTCTCAAACATTCATTCAAAAGTATTTAGTGAGTATCTGTCAGCTGTATATCCAGCACTGAGGGAAGACTCAGTCTCTGCCATCACATACACCTCAGCACTAAGAAGAGACACATGAAATAATTACCATCCAGTGTGATAAGTGCTCTGACAGAGGATGGAGAGAGGACTAGCCACCTTGGGGAAGATAGAGAAGCAGGGTCCCATCAGGAGATGAGGAGAAACCAGCCTCCAGGAGTGTGCTATCTGAGAGTACAAGATAAGGAAGGCGAAGAGGACAGGTCCATACTTGAACACTTGACGTAGGTATATCTAGTGCCTAAGAGTGTGTATGGTGACATCTTGTGGAGCAGTGATCATGACCCTCATTTGGTTTGTTATAGCATTGGGTCAAATGCCATGGGAATGTAACATGTAAATGGTCTTTGCCTTATAACACAGGGTATCCCATCCATGTAAGAGTGAATTTTTAAAAAGGCAAAACCAAACCTTTTGTTTACAGAATTTACTCCATTTGCCTTAAATAGTTTTAGCACACAAATTCTTCCTTGTTTGGGGCCATTATGGTGTATGGAATCAGAAAAAGATAAACTGTAGCTTACAGAAATAGAAAATCAATTTTGTCTGATGATACAGACATATGGATATAAACAACAAACAGGTAACACATAATAAGTTCCAAATGAGGCATTTTGTTGAAATTCAGTGTTAAGCATAAACAGTGAACTCAAATGCACAAAGGAGGCCTCATGGAAGGGTGACAAAACACTCCAGAGCAGATAACAGCCACCCTATTTTCTGTTCCCTGGGAGTGGGGAGAAAAGACATCAAAATCGAATTATAAATTTTAAAAAGTATTAAAATTATCTTATGGAAATATGATATTAAGAAGTTTGTTAGACAAATGGAAAACGTTTTGTGGAAACAAGAAATAAGAAAGAATGGCCATCACTTAAAGCAACAGAACGCATCTCTCCCACTAGCTCTCCCCTCCCTACCCACAGCTTTATTTACATTTGTTCTATAACATTTCAGCACAGTTCAGACCTGCCGCTGAGCCAGTGTGAGGTCAGGGTGTTGAGGAAGTGAGTCCCCGCAGTCAGACTCCAGCTGGCTGTCATCCTGTTTCTGCTTATTCCACATAATCAGTCTGGTGGGGAAGAGGAAATTCCTAACCTTTTTTTTTTTTTTTTTTTTTTAACACATCTTCATCAGAAAAGTGAAAGCACTAACTACTGTCCATAATAAAACTATTGGGAAGGTAACTTAGCTTGTAAATAAGTTCCACAAAGTCATTTCAGTAAAAGCTTCCTGGTTCTAAAATTGGGCAAAGCAGGATAATCCTCTAAGGCTGACATTCTTTCTCTTTTGTGCATTTACAACTAAACAGTCACTGATACACATTTCCACAGCGACCCTGCAATATCCACACTGACTTTCTTCTAAGACGCTTCAAAAATCCATCACACCTTTATGTGTTAAATATCACTATTGGCATATATCTTTAAAAACATTTATTTTCTTAATTCTCAAAATACAGAAAAGAATGTTATGCTATTTTGTGTGCAAACTGCTATTTTCAATAAGGAGCTCTTAATTGAGAAATAGTTGCTATTTTTCAATAAAGAACTCTCAATTAGAAATATTAAGAAGTGATGCTGTTTTTATGGAAGTAAATAAAATATCATGACATGAAAAGTTTATAATTTTTCCCCCAGCAATGGCTTATTCAGGGAATTTTTCTTATATCTAAAGTTAATGATCTGAAAAGTGGTAATCTTATCATTCACCAAGATTTCAGGATGTATGTTATTCCTACAGCACAATCCATTTTTACCTTTAAAGATGAGTTTGTGTGCTTCAGAAGACGTGACCCCAGTTGGCCACCGTCAATCCCTTGTTAATGATGGAACTCATGTGAAGTTAAGAGGAAACATAATACTCTTTATCTCATTCCCTGGTAGCAGAGAAGTTGACTCATCTTTAACGTCAGTTACTGAGATGTAACACAGAATCATATTCTACAGAAAATATGTGATAAACTTTACACAAATAAATACACTTTAGAAAGGCAGTCATTTGGATTTTCTTTTTGTCAGAGAACACTGCAAGTCTTCATGAAGAATCTCTGAGAAATTAAACACTTTATATGACATTTTATAGCATGTAGAGAGGTTGAAACTCAGAAAACTAAAACTCAGATGATAGTCTAAATACTTAATTTGTTGCTGCTTTATGCTGGACGTGAAAAGTGTGAGCTTAAATTATAAATAAAAAACTACTGAACTATCAAACTATTTGGGGTACATCCTCATCTTTCCTCTAAATTACTCTTTATTCCCATTAAAATCTACCTATCCCAGGTCCTCTCTCCTCAGCCCTTGATCTCTGCTTTCAAAGATGACTAACTAACCTAATAAACACATCTAAGGCGATGTTGTCAACTTCAACCCAACCCTCTTTCCCCAGATAACTGTCTGCATTTCAAGAACAACCTACCAGAGACCGTACCTGTCACCTTGGCTCTCCCACCCAATGGAGATGGCTCTAATGGTAAGGAATTCTGTCTTAAGTAACAGGGAAGGGAAACACTCTTGACAGATGCAGAGTTTTCATAGAGGCAGGTTGTTGGTGCATCATGTGGGCAGCCACTTTCAACTTTTGACCCTGCCTCAAAAGGTAACCAAGAAATCATTGTTATTCCAAAAATTATGACAAATCCAAAGTTTCACAGAATCCTGATTTTTATATACTTGCATTAATCACTGCTTATTTCCATGACATAAACCCAAACCGCAGCTGCAGAATATAGAGAATCAGAATAAATTCTGATAGAAAAGCCAGATACTGCTTCCACATATGCAAATATATGCTAATTGCTTTTAGCAAATGGATCCAAATAGGAATCAACATTATTCTATCTTAATGATTATGTTTTTGATTGGTACACATAAATGTTAGTGGGAAAATAGTTAGAGGAAGTTACCTAAACTAAATCACTTCAATTTTCAACAACATAATTACATTTCACCTACTAAAATGGCTTTGGATGTAGAATTTGTAATGCTACATCAATATAAGATGACTTTCAGTAAATATAGATGTACATTTGATTTGTAACAACAAATTAGTAGTTTTAAATTATTTGTATATTTCAGGGTAAATAAAATTAGAGCTATCCCACAATCGCTTTGGTTCTGAAATTCGACCACTGTAACTTTTTTTAAAGAAAACTTTATGGTGTGCAGTTCCTTTGGTTGCAAATATTAAATGGTTGGTGCTGAGAATAAGCAGCAATATAGAAATATACATAAATGTAGAAGAATATAACCTATGATTTAGACATAAAACGAGACCCTTACAAGATAAAGAGTTATGGAGATGTACGCTAATGATGGTTGTACAACATTATGACTGTTTAATATAGCTGACCTGTACACTTAAAAGTGGTTAAGATGGCCGGGCGCGGTGGCTCACGCCTGTAATCCCAGCACTTTGGGAGGCCGAGGCGGGCGGATCACGAGGTCAGGAGATGGAGACCATCCTGGCTAACACAGTGAAACCCCGTCTCTACTAAAAATACAAAAAATTAGCTGGGCGTGGTGGTGGGCGCCTGTAGTCCCAGCTACTCGGCTGAGGCAGGAGAATGGCGTGAACCCGGGAGGGGGAGCCTGCAGTGAGCGGAGATCGCGCCACCGCACTCCAGCCTGGGTGACAGAGCAAGACTCTGTCTTTAGCCCACCGTACTCCAGCCTGGGTGACAAGCAAGACTTCAGTCTCTACTCTGTCTTTAAAAAAAAAAAAAAAAAAAAAAAAAAAAAGGTGGTTAGGATGTTAAACTTACATTATGTTTACATTACATTACATAGTTCACCACAATAAAAAAATTTTGAAGGAAAACCAGAACTTTAATGACAAACTTAGGACATATTATGCTCTGAATATATAGTTTTGATAACGTCTTTCCTGGCAAATCAACAAGGTAAGAATAAAAGGATATTCTGAAATCTTTTTTTTTCTTTGGAGACGGAGTCTCGCTCTATTGCCCAGGCTGGAGTGCAGTGGCACAGTCTCGGCTCACTGCAACCTTCTGCCTCCCAGGTTCAAGCGATTCTGCTGCCTCAGCCTTCGGAGTAGCTGGGATTACAGGCGCGCACCACCATGCCTAGCTAATTTTTTTGTATTTTTAGTACGGGGTTTTCCCATGTTGGTCAGGCTGGTCTCGAACTCCTGATCTTGTGATCCACCCACCTCAGCCTTCCAAAATGCTGGGATTACAGGCGTAAGCCACCACACCTGGCCAGATATTCTTAAATCTTATGCTCACACTCCACCCTGCCCCCCAAAAAATTGTCCTTCGGGAAAGCATAATCTAAGGAAAAATTTCCCAAAGTGCCACCTTCAGCTTCATTCTTAATACAAGAGGAAGAATTGCCCATCATATAATGAAAGATACTTGATGTTATCATTAATGTGGTCTACATAGCGCTTCCTCTTGTAGATTTTTTACCCACTGTGAGCAGGAATGATTTTGATACTCAGTGTGTAGTAATTCTGTTAAGAACATTTAACTTGGAACCTATGCTACATAGTAAAGCTTATACTGACAATGGATATTTCATGTGGTAGGCATAAGTATTGTGGCGTGAGGGGAGGACTGGAAGTATATCTGCAGAACTACCTAGTCAAAGACCCCAATCTAATTTCTAATGTATAATTCATATAAATCCTTCTTGTATTGCTACACATTAAACATTATGCTTTTCACATTCTTGGTTAGCACTGTCACTGTTGATTGTCAGGCTTATAATTGTGTATAATTCTTCCCCTGCCACTTTACGAGCTGGTGGCCACACTGATTCCAGAAAGAAGTACTTCATTTCTTATTACCTCATGAAAGCACCCTCTGCCTAATGCCTTGGCTAACAGACTGGCCTTTGTTGTCTATGACCACTAATTCCCACTCAGGCACATAGCAATTCTGTTGTTGGTTGCTTCGCCCAGTCAAAAACACTGGAAGTGGATGTAGACTCCACACTGATGGATGAATGACCTTCTGGTCATTTTAATGTCCTTAAAAGTCTACTATTTTTAAATTGAAAAAAATATATATATATTCTGGGGTATGTTCTCCTTTATTCTGTTCATTAATGTTTTTCATCTATCACTGGGTTTTAAATATGACCTAAGGTTCTACAGTATATTTAGACAAACTTCTCATTTCTCTGCAGTGTTAGGAATTCATCACGTCTGTATGACAAGGTTGTGTTTGAGAACAAATGGGGACCTGTGTGACATGTTTTATTTCGATATACATTTAGAGTTTGAACCAATAAAAAAGCTATTAGAATTTTTAATATATATAACACATTATCAAAAACACTGTCACTTTTCTGAGTGCTCTAATCAGGCAATTCAGATGTTTATTTAAAAAGAGGGAAAAGCCAATCAGTATACTAAATATATTTATTTTAATACCTGTGCTCATATGTTACCTTTAAAGAACAGGAATAAAATTGATTGGTAGAATAGTATGCAAGCAATTTACCATCAATACAAATTAAACACATCTTTTTAAGAAAAGGGTGAGTTATCTTGACTGGGGAGGCACTAACGCTAGATTATTAATACGTATTTATTAAGCATTTACTGTGTCCAGGACCCTGTAAGGGGGGAAAAAAGTCCTTATTTTTACAATCTTTATTGACAGAAATTCTATAAAATGAATTGAATTCCTGAAATGACATCATTTAATCCAAATTTTTTCATCATCAACTAATTCATCTCAGAAAACAGTAAAGTTTAAAAAAATACTATCAGTAAGAATGATATATTTCCTTGGTTTGGAAATTTCCAAACCACGATATTCTGCCCCGTCAAAATATATTCACTGGGGAATTTTTTACTTCATACGTTTCTTTTGAACTTAGTCACATTTTTATATCTAGCTGGTTTCATTATTAAATAAAAGAAAAGGTGATTCCCCTCTTGTACTGCAGGAGACCACATACTTGAATGATACTCTAACTTCTAGGTTCTGCTATAGTAACACTGAAATCAGAAACCTGTGGGAGAAATGTCACTTTATCTGAGAGAGTAAAATCAGACTCTAAAAGGAAGTAGCAAATTCATCTTGTTCTTTTTTTTAATCAACCCTCTGCCTAACACAAGTAGTTTGAAACACAGAGGACTCTTTAAGTCATACTTCCTTTATGTAGTCAAAACCAAAGCCACTGGGTATTGCTTTCCCCAAAGGAATCTCTAAATAGCAGACGGGGACATTTTCAGATAGATTCATTTGTAGGCAAACCTCCATTGCTTGTATCGTATTTCCTGAAAGAATAAAGGTAAAACTTCAACTATTTATTACAGAATGAAAAATTCAGCCTGAACCCTACCTTTATAAAACAGGTTAATTGGGTTTTAATTTTCATAAATCATAAAGGACCATTTTGAATATTTGGGCCTTTAATTGTCTAGCTCCCAGATGAAGTACAAATCAGAAAAAAAAACAAAAAAAAACTATACTGTGTCAGAATGCAAGCTTCCCTCTTTGCATTTTGGCATCTGGAAACTCTGAAGAGTGGTTTTTGTTTTTGATTTAAAGATGATGATACATATGTGTACCTGATTCAAAACTATAGAATTGAAAACATAATTTTCAAAAAGTTTTCAAATATGCCTAAAGGTAACAATGTCGTCTTTTAGTTGCCAATTTCTCTACCACTTTCAACAAATTCCAAGGATTTAATTAGCTCCTTCAAGAGAAAATGGACTATTTTCCTTTCAGATTTACTATATTCTGTCACTCCAGCTTTATAACCGCATGTGCATACACAAACATTTCTTTCTCTCTTGCAGGTGGCACAAACCAGGAAGGGGAAATCTGTGGTTTAAATTCTTTATGCCTCATCCTCTGAGTGCTGAAGGCTTGCTGTAGGCTGTATGCTGTTAATGCTAATCGTGATAGGGGTTTTTACCTCCAACTGACTCCTACATGTTAGCATTAACAGGGTATGATGCCTGTTACTAGCATTCACATGGAACAAATTGCTGCCGTGGGAGGATGACAAAGAAGCATGAGTCACCCTGCTGGATAAACTTAGACTTCAGGCTTTATCATTTTTCAATCTGTTAATCATAATCTGGTCACTGGGATGTTCAACCTTAAACTAAGTTTTAAAAGTAAGGTTATTTAAAAGATGTATCAGTAGTATCCTAAATGCAAACATTTTCATTTAAATATCAAGCCCACGTTTGTTTTTATCATTAACAGAAAATGTATTCCTGTCATTCTTAATTGTAGGTTTTCACTTGTTCAATATAATGTTCATAAATACCTTTGATTCAACTGTTAGAAATGTGGGCTAAACAAAAATTTCTATAATATTTTTGTAGTTAAAAATTAGAAGGACTACTAACCTCCAGTTAAATCATGGATTGTCTGGCAACATTTTTTAAAATATTTAGAAACTGGTACTTTCCCCCATGTAACGATTTTCTGTTTAGGCAACTTCAGTTTAGAATTAATACTTTCATTTGACTCTTAAAGGGAAATTGAAAGGCTATGAAGCTGAATTTTTTAAATGAGATATTTTTAACAAGTAGCAGGGCAAATAACATCTGAGAGCTAGTGAGATATTGTTTCCATACAAGATACAAAGATTTAAT